TGAGGGGCTGTCACGCTATTTTGTATTTGTTTATTTTATTAAAGTTTTCTTTGAGCGTTCACCGGTTCCCGCTTCCTTCTTCCCGACCTACGAAGTTGTTACAGTACTCAAGATTAATATGGGATTGGCAGAAACTGTGTGTGTTATGTCTCCTTTAAATAAAATTGTGACAAAATATTACATTTTAATTAATCGATAAAATCAGAAAAAATTGCCCAGCCCTTCTAGGTCCTGACATGTAATCGGTCAGCCAATGATCTTGAATGCCTCCTATATATCTCATTTTTAAAAATAGTGAAGCACGCTAACAGAGTTTATCTCTGACACCTTCCTCCTCCCTAGCACCACCTGTCAAGGTCTGCTTAAAGGGGATTTTGCATGTCTATTTGTGAAGTCGCAGCAGTATATTTTAAATGCTCATCACAGAAAGTCGGATAACACTGCTAAGTTTAAGTTTACACAATAACAACTGCACTAAAAAAAGAAAAGTTTTTACTTTGGGTTTTTGAAAAAATGTAATGTACAGATGACAACACTGTCAAAAAGATCCTTGTTCACACGGATCCACGAAAATGACTAAAAGCGCTGGTGTTGGGGAGTAACTAGTTACATGTAATGGCATTACGTAATTTAATTACAAAATAAATATTTAATATTTAATATTTAAACTGTTATCAGGTACAGTTACTAAGAAAAAATGTGTAATTAAATTAGTTACTTATGAAAATGTTAACGATTACAAAGGGGGTTATATTTGAATATTTACGCACAACCTCGTACAGATTTAGTAGATTTCTTTCCCAAATTGCACTGACTACTCTAAAATATGAGACATACAGCCCTATGATTTCTGCGATGCGGAAAACACGGACTGGTTCGTAGAATCCAGTCATAAAAATGGAATTCCTATAACACGGAATGTCACAGAATATGCCACATTTTGGATGAATAAATCAAAAGTAGGTCAGTACACTTGAATCAAAACGCAATATGGACTATGTCTATAAATATTACTTTGCAAAAAGACAGTATATGAATCCTGCATGTTCTGCGTGTCTCTGTGGAAATTAATGGCGCGCGGTTTCATACTGAAGTGTGTGTATCGCTTGCGGACGTTGCTGCGTTTTCAGCCTCTGCCACCTCAATATATGAGTACATGAACACATAAACATAATCTCTAGAACTGCTCTGAATCACTTCATGAGCATTTTACAATTTATTTTGAGAAAACTATCATCATATCATATGCATACAGACACAGGGCAGTGCACAGGGGGAACATTCATTAGAAAATTAAAAAAGTAATCAAAAGTAATCAGTTACCTACATTACTTTAATAAAGTAATTAAAAAAGTTATACTACCGTTACATTTTAAATAGGGTAACTTGTAATCTGTAACCTATTACATTTCCAAAGTAACCTTCCCAACACTGGCGCTATATTATGCATGCCAGGCCAGTAGTTGGTGATGTAACTTTGTAGAGAATTTTAGCACTTTCACGCCCCCTAAAACACCATTGTGTAAATGAACGATGCAAAAAAAAAAAGTTTTATGTTTTTAGTTGAAAACATTGTCGTGTAAACACCCCCTAAAGATGACTGCCATATTAGCCAATTTAACATAAACAAAAAAATTATCAAGCTGAATTTGAATACACACAAATCAGTGACAATATGATTTTGCTGTAGTAGGAAGCTAGTTCAAAGGGGTCATATGATGCGATTTCAATTGTTCCTTTCTCTTTGAAGTGTTACAAGCTTTTGGTGCATAAAGAAGATCTGTAAAGTTGCAAAGACTAAAGTCTCAAATCCAAAGAGATATTCTTTATAAAAGTTAAGAGTCAGCCACGCCTACCTAAAACGGCTCGTTCTAACACGCCCCCACATGTCTACATCACGATGTGGGAAGATTTGCATAACATTGCCCAAATGTTCAGGCGTAACTTTGATTCTCGCTGTAGTATTGTTGCTCCGGTCCGTAACCAGCTATGAGGCCACTGAGGTCCAGACCTCTGTAAATTTTTCATGTTCAAAAATAAAATGTGTTCTTTGAATGTCTAATTTGCTGTCATATGAATGCATGCATGACATGTATAGTTCAGTTTAGACAGTTTGCAAGAATGTTTAGCGTCCCTGTTATGAAAATGATCGCTGCGAGACGCTCGCGGCGTGAACAAGGCTTGAGAGAGTTGTGAGTGAGGGCACGGGCGCAGCAAAATAGCCATTTATCAAAGCCATTCATCAAGATATGCGCAAATTGACTGCATCCACACCTACATTTAAATTAAGTCAAGTATGCCTTCCTCAGCACTATTTTGTTCACCATACATTACATACATTTGCTGCTTATTTATATAAATTGTTTTTACATCTTGTATGGCATGTGGAAAATGGTTGTAAACCCTGTTTTACTAAATCAGCATGGTTATACCCTATATATTTGAAAATGCTTTTATATAATAACTCATTATGAATTTATACCTCTGAATGTGAAGTAATTAACATTTTTAAATGTCCTACTATACTGGTATGCTTGCCTTGGTGGTACTATTTTTATAGTACCAGGGGGTGTTTAGGTGCTTTTGCCTACACATCACTTCTGCACTTCAACTATTAGAGCACCACCATTAATTTCAAAAGCATCTATTTGATTTTTTTCTGGAACCTGTGTGGAGTTTATAAAATCATTTTACAAATACATTTGAATAGAACTGCTTGAATTATTTGAGATTTTACACAGGACAAAAAAAGGATCATTTTACTAATGTGTATTGATCCTTGGAATGAAGACTTGGCAACCTAAGGACCACTGAAAGAGTGAGTAAAGGAGAGATATGAGGGGCACATTGATGTCACTTCACAAACTAGAAATTACATGAGTTACACCCACATCAGCAAGGCAGGTTAATCGAGTTTGGCATTGTAGATGTATTTGCACATTAATGTTTGTGTGTAGACAAAAAAAATGTGCAGAGAAGATGAGTGAATGAAGAGAAACAAGTATGTACTGTATGGTATTAAAATGGACTAGATAAGAAATGGATGGTTCTGGAATGGCCAAGTTAAAGTCCTCATCTTAAACCAATGAAAATGCTGTGGTGATCTAAAGTGTATGGAATAGCCTTAAAATCAATTAATGCAAAAAAGACAGTGTCCCCATGCATAACCAAATTCACATTTACAAAAACTATTTCACATGCATAAAACAATACATATGCTAAATACATTTCTCAAATGCAAAACACTATTAAAAATATATGGTAAGTTGCATAGAGCCTTGTTGGTGTCACATGTTTATGTTTCTATGCCCCCATTTGGTCTTCCTGTTCCTGCTCCCTGATTGTTTATTATTTGTCCCAGGTGTTTCATCAGCTCCAGGTGTGTCTCGTCTTCCCATTAGCCTGTTCAGTGTATTTAAAGTGTGTTCTGTTCCCTATTGGTTTGTCCAGTATTATTGATGTCTACTCCTTGTGCTACTTGTGATTCACCGTGATATGAATAAATTCCTGTTGAATTACTGCGTTTACTCACTGTTATTTGTTGACAGTGAATCTGCTCTGAAAGAACAGGAGTTGGGGGTCATTTTGAATAGTGACATGGGCCCCCTGAAAACACATTTTGCTTCCAAAATCTAGGACCAGGACCAGCACCTTGTGGAATACAGACGGATGGCATACAGTGTGTACAACTGTCCTGTATTGGCTGTACCCTGTTTTGTGCTCATCCATATATGAAATTCTCAATTCATAACAATTTCATAACAGGCACATTTCAATGAATCATGGCCAAGACATTTAATACAGGCCTATTCCCAAAGTACTCAGAAACAGAAATAAAAATGTTCAAATATTAAAACTTCTACAGCAACTGTAGCAAGTGACTTTAAATGTTTTGATTCTGCCATAAAACCAAAACAATAACAAGGACATTTAATAATGCATCGCAAAGGTTTATGCCTCGTGCACAGTCAGAAGGATACAATTCTAAAATTAATATACAGTAGTAATAATGCATGACTCTGTTGAAACCACTCTGGAACTTTTTTTTAAATCACTGTCAAAATGGATGGCTTGCAGCATGAGGGCAACATAAAATCATGATTATGTTACCTGGACAAATATAATGTAATTATTTATTTTTGTTTATCCATATGCTTTTCTCTTTTTATTTTTGTATTTATTTTTGTTTTTCATTTTCATTCAACAATGTTTTGAGACAATCCTTGTGCACTAAGGAGTAGTATTTCTGCTATTCAAAAGAACACAAAGCAATCCTATACATCCAAACATCTGGCATGAAGCTCTAGGTGACACATTTCGATAGGTCAAACTCAATCTGACAATGACATCATTATCACATCTTTACTTGGTAGCACTCACACAAATGCACACATGCCACAAACATTCTAATGCTGTTGTCGTTTTCCTTAATATTGAAATTTGAACTCCAACCAGCCCAATGGTGAAAATATCACTAGCAAAATCACACTAAAATCATGCTCACAGACATCCATCTGCTCCATTACAGAAACATGCTTTCCCATAATCACAGGCCTCGAGTGCTGACCTCTGTAATGCCCTGACCCCACTGTGAAAAAAGACAAGCAAAACCAGATTTGTTGCTTGTGTGTGGTTTAATTAGCGTAGATTGTGTGTGAATGTGTGTGTGTATGTGACTGTCAGTGTTGACATGTACTTGTGTATGTGATAATATGTAACTGCAGGAACAGAAGCACACACTCACTTTTCTGTGTGTTGAAAGGACACCACAAAAGGAGCTAAAACCTTATAGTCAAAAATAATGTGCGCCCCTTAAAAAGAAGCACATGGCACAGTGTTGGTATCAGATGGTAATACTTTGATAAATACCATGGTACTGAATGATTACCAAATTCATATAGCATGACAATAGCATGGTACTTCAAAGAATATCATGATATACCTTTCGGTGCCGTTTTGTTCATGGTGTTAAGTGCACCGTTTAGCAGAGCTCAGTTTACCTTTTGCAACAGCTGAGAGCCAGAATACTTGGCCGCAATGGATTTCATTTCTCCACCAAACGCTGAAGCCCAAAGTTTTACACTAGAAAGAAGGAAATTCAATTATGAGGAAATTAATTTGACATAGCAGGTACACATTTGGGTATGAGAGAAAAGTGCAATGTAGTGAAAACACTTGCTTAAACCGCATTTTCAAATCATGCATATTTATAATACATGAAATCTGTATTGTATTTAAGCAAATATGTCTCCTTTAAACTGCATTTGTCCCATCACACAAATATATGAAGTGAACTTTAAAATCAAAAGGCACTGGCTAAATAAATAAATGCATATTGTGACCTAAAATTTTGATTCAGTTCATTTTGTAGAGCAGTCTGGGCAACTTGACAAAAAGCAAATAACAAAGTTGGGACAAAATGACAACAATATAGGCTATTTTATATATTTTTCTTTCTGTCAGCAATAGTTGTACAAAACCAATACAGCAAACAATATACAAAACATCCTATTTTATTTGTAGCCTATTATTAGCACCTACTAATTATATTCAATACATTAGAAACATAAGAAAAGTATACTTACACTGACAGGGGAATTCCTTGATGAGATGCACATACTCTGGTATTGGGTGTAATCCACAGCAGGAGGAAAAATATACAATGCAAAACGCACTTCATGATTGCAATGATGCCCAGAGCTTCTGAAGAGATGATGAATTGTCTGTCAACAAACTCAGCTGCCGACTAACACAGCTCACACCAAATATATGTATGGATGTGTCGCGTGCAGTGCGTTCCAGTCAGAGACGTAACAAGGGAAGTGCATGAATGTATTTTTGAAGTAAAGGCGCCGCTGTCGTGCTTTATATATAGCCTACTCCAGTCGTACTGCAGTTTTACTCAAATCGAGTGCGCTGAAAGAGAGAGCCGAGGTGAGAGCAGCAGGACCGATGATGCGAGGACGTGTCACGTCTTCTCTTTCGTCCGCTTTCTGAGAAGCTGCTGCTGCTGCTGCCTTTACTGCTCTTCAAAGGAGAATCCGCTATCAAATGATGCCATACGAATCGATGACGAAATAGTGAACAAAACAACTACCTGGAAACGACAAGACGCGACAGACCGAGTGAATGAGTTAAAGAGACTACACCACAACTACAGATGCGCTTCAATGCTCAGCTCCCACCAGAGAAACACTCAACTCCTCAGCAATTAGCTTGTCATTTAGTTATTGAGCTGGTGAATCTCATGAAACCTGCAGACTTGTATTTCTTCCAGAGTCTATCTATCATATTTGAATGTCTATGCACTACATTTAGTCCTGCAAATTCTCATTACTGAAAAAAGTCATTGTTATAATGCGAAAAAAATTATTATATATTATTTAAATTGTAATCATTTATAATTTGATGAGTATTAGCGACAATTATGACAACAATGACAATTATCATAGTACATGACGACAAGACGCGACAGACCGAGTGAATGAGTTAAAGAGACTACACCACAACTACAGATGCGCTTCAATGCTCAGCTCCCACCAGAGAAACACTCAACTCCTCAGCAATTAGCTTGTCATTTAGTTATTGAGCTGGTGAATCTCATGAAACCTGCAGACTTGTATTTCTTCCAGAGTCTATCTATCATATTTGAATGTCTATGCACTACATTTAGTCCTGCAAATTCTCATTACTGAAAAAAGTCATTGTTATAATGCGAAAAAATTATTATATATTATTTAAATTGTAATCATTTATAATTTGATGAGTATTAGCGACAATTATGACAACAATGACAATTATCATAGTACATTTCATAACTGTAATAGAAGTTATTCATTCAGGAACAAAACAATCAGTGTGTCTGAAATTGCATGCTGTTGGAGTAGGTACTGCTTTTCAATTCAAACTTACTTTGTGATAAAGTATGTTCTATTTAAGCTGTGTCCCAATAGAAAACGTGAAGCTGATGTCACGATGTGTTTCATTCTGGGTAATGGTTTTGTTTAGATTATTTCGGCAGTGTTCTCTTTTTAAGCATATGTTTTGGTGTCTCACTGTGGGATATGCCCCTTCTGTGCATTCCTCTAGAAGATTTTAGTGTAAGAGCCTCACACGGGGCACCACTAAATGTAGTGATTTCAATCTGAAATAGCTTCACATGGGACACCATTAAATCTAGAGGTTTTAGATCTAAGTAGCACCATATATTTAATGGTTTTGGGCTTAAATGTTAATGCTAATATTAACATTTTGTGATTTGTGAGAGTGTCAGATAATTATTTCCTATGTTACGGTGCACCAGCAAGGGATTTCCACCCTGACAGTAAAGAACAATCATGAAAGATTGTTGAATAAACAAACTTTTGAATAAAAGAGTTATATAAATTGGAGGAAGTCATCTGAAGGATTTGTGAGATCTTGTTAATTTGTAGAGCCTCCCACTGTATTATCAACACAAGGAAGCCACAAGTGTAATAAAAGGGTTTTATTAACAAAAGGATAGACAAGAGTAACTGACAACTACTAAATGATTTCCTTGAATTGATAAAGTGCAAAAGTTTGATAGATGCAATTGGCCTATCGGTAAGCCCCGCCCCCCTTAGTTACAGTTGCTCACTCGGACAAACAAACGGGAGTTGCTGCTGTCTTACGATGACAGCTGTCAGCGAGAAAACTTTAATGTCCCAAGATGTTTTTGATAAATTTTGGACACAGAAGGACCATCATTTAAGTGGGACTTAAATATGCCATGGAGGGATATATAAAAGATTTCAAAATAAATATGTAAAAATACAGATCATAATGCAGACAGGAGAAGTCTCCCCAGGTAACCAAAATGGTTTGGCCCGATAATGGCCCAGATCCGGCAGGCCGGATTAAATAACTCGGCCCGGCTGCGGTTGCCAGAGTCGGCATGGACATGGGATGAATGACGCCCCAGAATCGGCCCAAATACACTGGCCCGAGTCCGGCTGCCAAAACTGCTGGCATTGGGCCACAATCACGACAAGAATTGAAACACTTAGCCGGTACTGGCCTGAGTCTGGGTACTGAAACTGGGCCAACACCACCGGCATTGGGCCACAATCACACCGACGAGAAATGAAACACTTAGCCAGTACTGGCCCGAGTCTGGGTACTGAAACTGAGCTGACACCACCGGCATTGGGCCACAATCACACCAACAAGTGGCCCAATGGCGGTGGTGTTAGCTCAGTTTCAGTACCCACACTCGGGCCAGTACTGGCTAAGGGTACCATTTTGGTTGGTGTGATTTACATATATATATATATACAGGCTGCGATTTGCCGGGGGGGGGGGGGGGATGTCTATGCATCCCTGCCTCTGCTGAATTATTTTTATCCCCAGTGGGTATAACAACATCCCGCGAACCCGCTACGATGTCCCGACCTGAATCAAATGATTCACGATACACGCTTTGAAGTCCCGATCTGAATCAAATGAGTCACGATACACGCATTGAAGTCCCGATCTGAATCAAATGATTCATGTTACGCGATCCGATTTGAGCGCTTCGAAACAGTGAATCATTTTGCGACACAATGGTTTAACTGATTCGGAGTTTTAAAAAGCTCTGTTGATACGGTGTTCTTTGCTCGCTTAGAACAAGGTTAGGGATATTATTCATTGTTTGAATAACCGTGGAAATGAAATCATTACAATTAATAGGTCTAACGTACAATGTTTTTATTAAACTATGATCACGTTAAATAGCCTACAGTTTCCGTTGTATTAAAAACATTTCATGACATGCCACCTATTATCTAGTACTTGCCTAAAAAGATGGGTAGTTGGGTCAACCTCTGCCTATAGAGTTTTATACGCCTATAAAAAGTTTTCAAAAGCATCCCCCCCTCTGTTTTTTTCACAAATCGCACCCTATATATATATGATACAAAATGACATTGTTACCTTAAAAGCCTTAATGGTATCCACTTCAAACTAAAATAAAATACATATTTTACAGTGTCCTTGTTAAGTCTACATGTACTTATGCATGTCAACTAAATATGTCACCTTCAAAAAGATTAAGGGTTTGGCCCTTACACCATTTCTTTTCATGGCATCCCTGCCTACTACCCCATGACATGCATATGTGAAAAAAAAATATATTAATTATTTTGAAAAAAAAAAAATCCTCCAGGAGCTTCCTTCTAAAAGAGATGAAAAGTAAGCAGATCTAGCAGTTTTTAGAGCTTTTCTGTAAGTAGAAGTACTTTCTCTCCATGCAAGACGAAATACCTCTAGTTTTGTTTTCATCCTGCTGCACTCCATTTTCTGGGCTGCTCTCTTTAGGGCGCGAGTGTGCTCATTATACCACGGTGTCAGACCGTTTTCCTTATTCTTCTTCCATAGTTTCTGTTACCACATCAAATTTTTCTGAGCTATTGAATTTGCTGAGGAATTGAGACAAATCAGAAAGATTATTTACAAAGCAGTCTTTTGTTGTAGAAGCGATGGTTCTACCATATTTGTAACAAGGATTTGAGTTTGCAGCTTTAGCTATATGGAGTATACACGAGAATAGATTTTAGCCAGGTTTCTGTCAAACAGAGCACATCTAGGTTATGATCTGTGATTATATAATTTACAAAAAGCACTTTTGTTGAAAGGGATCTAATATGCATTAAACCATGCTTTATCATTTGTTTATCTGTAGTCTAGTTATAAATCTCTATGTGCTGAGAATTAACTGACTTCTGTAACTTCTGTGTGAAGTCACACTAATGCCTAGGGTTTCTGTGAAAGAGGTTTGGAAAGAGTGATATTTACGTTCTGCCTGGTCATGTGCTGAGTCTGAATGGCGACGTCTTCCACTTGTTGATCTTGGGCATGTTGCAGTGGGAAGAAAGTAGTTGAATGCATTTCACAGTCTTGAACACAAAACACTGGTGAACGATGAGCTCCTGAGCACAGAGAAAGTCCTTGGTCTGGAACATGCAGCTGAAGGAGCCTTGCAGGTGAAGGTTCTTATGTCTGTGCAGAACCTCCGGACAATCTTGAACATGCACAGAGAGGATCACTGACAAGACAATTCTGACATTTGTGGAGAGAACCTTGGCAGTCTGGAACATGCAGACAGAAGATTGCTGAAGAGAAGGCTCTGAAGTTGTTGCAGAAGATGGGGGACACTAAGCTTGTGGTCGTTGTTGCTGTGGCGGTTTCCAAACTCCCCAAATTAACTTCTTGCAGAACTTCCCTGTTTCTCCTTAGAACAACTTAGCTTAGCATTTTGCAAATAAAGAGATTTCACTTAGCACTTAGCTGCACAGCAACAGCAGCTTAGGCAAATTTGTTGTCTTGGAGAAAACCTTTTAATCTTTCCTGAGAAGGAGGAATTTGCAAATTAGGCACCTTTCAGATCCAGCATTTTGATTGGCTGATGCTGTCAGCAATGGCCACTGAATTGCTCCCTCTTTGGCATGAGGTTTATCTGCATAGTTTAATGTCCACGTTTGCAACAGTGTCTTTAAGGCAAAGGTCTTAAACCCTGCTCCTTGGGACCCACTGTCCTGCAAAGTTTATTTCCAACCTTCACACCTTCCTGTGTATTTTGAAGCAGCCTTGAATAGCTTGATTAGCTGCTTCAAATGTGTTTGATAAGGGTTGTAGCTAAACCCTGCAGGACAGTGGGCCCCTAGGAACAGGGTTGAAGACATCTGCTTTAAGGTTTTTCCTATGCATACACATTGTGCTGAAAATATGAAGGCCAAACATAAATGGGTAATACTGAACTTTGACCCGTGCATTCAATTACACAGTATAATCTTAATAGGTAAGGTTACATACATTGTTGCATCACAAACAGCACTCATTAAGTATATACAGTTCTGTAAATGAATATGAAGATGGTTTAATCAGTTTTGTATCTATTTTGTGTGAATGCATGTGAAGACTTGTTTTTCATTTGTGGCTTTGGCCACAAGGCAAAGCCACAAAGCATATTCTTGCTTTATTCTATATTCTTTATACCAGCAGCCATGTCACCCTGTAGCCCAAGACTGGTTACCCACTGAAGCTAAGTAGGGTTAAGCCTGGTCAGTACCTGGATGGGAGAC